GGGGGGCGGGAGCGCTTTACCCGCCACCCCCCCACACCCGTGTGGATGCTGCATGGGGCTCCCGCCGGCGGCAGTGACCCTCAGCTTGCTCCTAGCCCGAGCTCTGGAAATGGGAGAACCACGAGGTGGGACTCCTCGATGCGCATCAAGGAGAACTTGCCCACAAGGATCCAAGGGACCACCCTGGCTCCCCTTCCCCACACAACGCTGCTCCTGAGTACTGAGACTCAGCCCGCCGGAGCCAAGATCCCCGATCGGCTTTCCGGAGGTTCCAACTGTTAGAAATCCCACCCCACCCCACCCCCTTCAGCTAACAGGAGCCTACTCGGTGCGCCCCCTAGGCTTCCAGCCCTCATCCTCTTAGAAACTCAAGTCAATCCAGATCCTGCTCCCTTCAAATCTCTAAAGACACAGATGTGTCCTCCTCCCCAGCCAGCCACGCTGGGAACTTTACGTAGTCCTTCCTCTTCCTCCACTGAGCAGTCCCTGGGATCTGATTCTGCTCCTGTTGTCTCTCCCTGACACTTTGGGTATCTTGTGGGGCTTTCACTGTCTCCAGTGGGTAGAGTTTTGAACTCAAGATCCACTCATGTGCCTCCCCTGGTCCCACCTGGAGGAAGATCTCCCATTGGCTCAGTGGCCGTGCATGCCAGGCACTTCAATTGTGTATTTTACTTAATTTTTACACAACCTCTGGAGGTGCGGGTACTGTTGTCCCCATTTCACCCAGAGAAACAAATCAGACTTGCCAAAGATACACTGAGTCCTAAAGTCAAAAGCGTGAGGAAGAACACTCCCTTGCAGGCTGGGGCCTCCCTCCTCCACCCCTCAGCTGCAGTCCTTCTGGAATATGGTTGCCAGTTTATTAACCCAATCCTGGATGGTCCTAGCTCTTCCATCCTGGTGCCTCAAACCAGGAATTGTTACTGTAGAGGCAGAAGAGGCCACCTGAGGGGTGCAGGTCTTCCTGTTCTCCCCAAGACCAGTGGTGGGGAGCTTCAGCAGCCCTCCTACACACTCCAGAAGTATTTCCACCGGCTTCTGATTCAGAACCTTAGGGATCCTGGTGAAGCCTCAGGCCGGCCAAGAATGCACTCCTGATTTTTAAAATCCCAGTCTACACAGTCAAAGAAGTGGGTGACCTGTATTATTGTCAGGATAATTCAATCAGGCGAGCATGCAATGCCCTGGCAGAAGGCTCAATATTTTTACATACGACCCCAGTGAGACCTGAGGGGATTCAGGAGCTAAAAAGAGCGTGGTGAGGAAACGCCCTCTCTCTTCCCAGTAAAGGATTTCATCCCAACTGACATTCAGGCAGGAAGCTGTAGCTCTCCCAACCTCCTTTCAGAGAGGTGCTTTTTCTTTAAATGACGTTAATGTGACGTTAATATTTTTTCGTTTTCAAGGAAACCTCTATAAGAGACAATCTTCATTTAAAAAAAATTACATCCATTAGGCCTGAGGTGAACGAAATAAAAAAGCAAAAATAAAAAACCAAACAAGCTTTTTCAGAAGAGGGACAGGAATGCAGCCTCAACCCACGGGCTGCCCGAAAAGGCAAAGATGGCAGCTGTAGCTCGAGATGGGGTGAGTATGACCAGACTTGGCAGATGTCAGGAATGGGGTAACTGAGGGGACCAGGGTCTGAAGCCAAAGGACAGAAGAGACAGGGCTTTTACAAACCAAATGCAGGTTGACAGTGTCAGAGCAGCCTACCTGAGAGGGAGCCCATGATGCCAGAACCCCTTCCCTACTTGCAGCGCCACTCATCCCCCACAAGCAAGACCTGAAGAATGCCACCTGCCCCTTTCTGCAACACACAAAGAACTCAGGTTTGACCAAAAAACAGAAGAAAGCAGCTCCACTGACGGCACCCCCTAACTCATGGGGGTGGGAGCAGACAAAAAAAAAAATGAGGTTGCTAGCTGAGGGCGGGCAGGGACGTGAGCTGACCAGTGAGGGGCTCCAGTGCCTGCGCAGATGGAAGCTGAAAGGAAGTTCTAATTAGCACAAAGCCGGCACCTTCCATTAATAGCTCACCACCAGCTTCCAGGAGCCGCTGAAGGCAGCCAAGTTGGAATGTGCGAGGCTCACCTTGCCCCAGCTCATTAACAGACCTGGGGTGAGAACAGGGCTCTCCTGGAGGAAGACCAACCCAAAGGGCTCCTTCCACCAAAAAAAAAAAAAAAAAAAAAAAAAAAAAAAAAGAAAAAAAAAAAAAAAG